GGACGTCATCCACACATCAATTGGCCATGGGGGGACCCTAGGTTTCACTAAGTTTCAGTGTTTTACCTTCCCCGGGTTGTCCAAGCGCTCCTATCCAAGTTCCAAGCTTTGTCCAAGCTCCGCTCCAAGCTCCAAGCTGCTGTCCCAAGTTCTTTGAAGGCTCCAAATTGCTGTCCCAGGTTTTCCCAAGGAGGAAGACCTCTGTCCAAGCCTTTCCGGATCGCGTCGCTGCTGGCCAAGCCGTTCCCAAGGGTGGAGACTGCTGCCCCAACATTCCAAACAGAGAATTTTACTGTTTGAGGGCTCCCGGAGGTCATCGTTTGCTGTCCAAAGCTTCCCAACAGCAGTTTTCACTGTTTGGAAGCCTTCGGAGGCTGCATGGTTGCTGTCCAAGGCTTCCGGATAGTGGATTTGCTGTCCAAACTGCTCCAAACAGCAGTTTGAGTGTTCCCGGAAGTTGCGTGGCTGCTGTCCAAGCTTTTCCAACGTTGTCGCTGCTGTCCAAGCCTTTCTGGATGATGGATTTGCTGTCCAAACTGCTCCAAACAGCAGTTTGAGTGTTCCCGGAAGTTGCGTGGCTGCTGTACAAGCTTTTCCAACGCGGTCGCTGCTGTCCAAGCCTTTCCGGATGATGGATTTGCTGTCCAAACTGCTCCGGACAGCAGTTTTCATTGTTAGAAGGCTCCTGAAAGCTGCGTGGCCGCTGTCTACACGTTCCAAACAGCAGGTTCTGCTGTTTTACAGTGTCCTGGAGCAGATTTCATCGTCAAGAGGTCGCCGGAGTTGACTTGGAAGGGAGGGGATGCTTCCTTCTACTTCCTAAGAGCGGAAGAAAAGAACTACAACAGTTCTTTGCTTCAGATTTTGAGAGAGGGAGGAGAAAGGCAGCAACAAACTCCCAAATCCCTTGCCTCGGCTTCTTCTCCTGGCTAGATCGCATGCAAGAGGCCACCGTCGACCTCCTCCTTCATGGCTTGGACGGGTGCAGACAATAGAGAGCCGGAAGGCTCTCTCCCCATTTCCTTATCCCGCTCTGTCTGAGACGGACGAACCCCTCGGAAGCCAAAAATGGGGAATCCGATTGCTCCCCCTCTCCCTCCCGTTCTCTGTCTGGGACGGACGCAGAAACAGAGAGCCGAAAGGCTCTCTCCCGTGCTCTGTCTGGGACGGGCGAACAAGCAGAGAGCCGAGAGGCTCTCTCCGTCTCCCTCTTTCTCTTGCTCGGAGCGGACAAAACGAAAACGGGGAGCCGAATGCTCCCCCTTTCTCCTCTGCGTGCTCTTGGAGAGCAAGAGCGGCAGCACCTTACCGCTCGAATGGACCGATCCCCCCTCTCGTGCGTGAAACGAGGGATTTTAGGGCAGAATTCTATGTGAAATCTGAGCCCTTCATCTCAAACTTTGATTTGAAAATCAAATTCAGCCCAAATTGAGAAATTAGGGTTGAATTTGAGTCCGGATTGGACTCGACCCGGATCAATTTGGGTCGGTTTGGGTCCGATCAAGTTAATTTTGCAAAATTAAGCTTGAATCGATGTCGAATTGTGTCGAATTGGGCTCGACAACGCTCGACGGGGTGCGATTGGTTTTGATTTGATTTAAATTAAATTAAACTGATTTAATTTAATTAAATTGAGGCTCAATTTGGATTAATTTCACCTCGACGATGATCAATTGAGTTGATCGAGCGCGATCGAGCTTTGTCGGGCTCGATCGGGGTCGAGTCGATGCGAAAATATTCGTCAACAGCTGTTCTAGAATTTCAGTGAGTTTTAGCTGAATTTGGGACTGCTGATCTTAAGTTGGATAGTTATAAATATTAGATCTTAGACCATTTTTGTTTAATGAGAAGTTACTTTTTTCTTTGTGCTTGAACGTTGACTAGATACAAATCCTTTGATTATGATGCACGTGGTGAATACTTATTTTTTAGTTGAAGCTATATTGACGTGCGTTTAAATTTTTAATTTTGCAAGTTCTTTTCTTGTTATTTTATTTTATAATTTCATTAATTGTTTTACTTTTGTGATTGGATACATTCAAAGCCTATACAATCTGAATTCTAGTTGCGGTTTGATTTTGGATCATCTTGTCATTATTGACTTTTTTTAAAAAAAATTTATTTGTACTCATTAATTTATCACTTGGGCTGTTTTTGTGTGTTTTTTGTCTTAAATTATCACTGATTAAAGTATCTTTTTTTATTGAACTTATTTTATTATCACTTAGGTCATTTTTTGAGGGTTTTCTGGCTATCATAAAAAAGAGATGCATTTTTTGTCCAAATTAAAATTGTGGACTGCAATTTTGACATTTTAGGCATGATTTTATATATCTCGCCCTCTATCTCCATCAAGAACACATAGACCATAGTTTGATATCTTCATAAAATAATAATAATAATAATAATAATAATAATAATAATAATTATAATAATAAATAAATAAAAATAAAAATGTTTGATATCTTCAGATCTACCTCTATCTTTCTTAGCATAAGTCAAATCTAATACATCTACTATCCTAACCGGGTCATTGGAAAGCTGTTGTTTTATGTAACCAAAGCATCTATGGCGACTCTCTATAATCGTGTCTTCCATTGGAGTTACTCCAACCTTTCCATGTATATGCTTTTTGTGTATCATGTCTT